CGCGTCACTCGTCACTCATCACAAATTTATCGCCTCCAATATCACCATCATAGAATTCACAAACAAACTGAAAATCCAAAAAAAAAAAAGAAAAACAAAAAGAAAAAGATAAGAAAACAGAAGAAAACAACTCTCATTTGGCACACACAATACAAACTCTCTCATCAAATACTATCGAAATATTAAGATCATCAGATCATTAATCTCACTATCATCCTCAGCGAGTCAATGTGAGCTGGAATCACATCATATCACACAACACCTATTTCAACAGTCTACTGACACCTCTCCTCCACCTATGTACACACAAAATACACACTCCTCTCTATTACATCTCTCAACAAATTCAAAATCGACAAACACGACACACATCCATACAACACATAAACCACATACACTGAACGTCTATATACACACCACAATCGATCGAACACTACACTTTCAACTATTACTCAATTCTTCTCCCTAAGTCAACAAGTCAACAGTCAACCTTATCCTTTCAACATTTCCTCTTTACAGTAATAAAAATCTATCTATCAAACAACCAGTCAGTCAATCAAACATAGCACAAACATCATCACAATACCACACACAACTAACCGACCACATAAATCTACTCACCTGTTTTATCACTCGACACTATTAGCATCACAACCAATTGTTACAACACACCATCTTACACCAATTGTCTGAAATATAAACAAAATTAACATTATTAACACACATACATCACAATTCAACACAACATCATGCTACAACATTTCAGTATTCACTAAACTATATCATATCTCGGTCAACAGACCGTCGTGAATATATTCACATCATATCATACAAATCAGTCACATATAACTAACTCATCAACACACATAACCACCATCTTATTCGTCCAACAACATGACACAATACAACACTAATCACAAGTTATCGAATTAGGCATAAACATAAACTTACCATTACACTCAACATAACATCGTTGTCGTCCGATCAGTCAGTTGTAGTATATACATCATATCAAATATATCTTCATATCTATACATCTCCTTCCTCTTCAAAACATCATCTCATGTTTCACAGATTATAAACTCTCCCACCAATTCATATTCACATGTGTTCGCATCTGCATACTTTCGCTTATCCTCCAATCACAACATCAACAAATTCTCTCATATACAACTCTACACCAACGTTACAAATCTATCATTAATTGAAGAAGAAAAAACAACAACATATCAATATCTCAATTAACATCACATCCATAATATTAAACATACACTTTTCATTCTTTCTAAATACAATTGTCTACATATGCATATACAGGTGTACACACATACATCTACATATGTATACATTTCTTCAATACTGTCTCAGATAGAGCCCAATCACTGATCATGGAGGGCAAGTTATCATCACCAAATTACGTCTCGCTTCACTAATTAAAAACGTAATCACACAACACCAACCATCACTACAACCATCATATACAGTACATAATCACAATAGACCACTACTACTCACCACACCAATCATAACACATCACATCATATCAACAATCGGTAAACAAACACTTACCGTTATTCCCATTTAAAAACCTTGTATATAAATCATCACCACCACCATCACCAACCTCACTCGTCACTCGTCACTCATCACAAATTTATCGCCTCCAATATCACCATCATAGAATTCACAAACAAACTGAAAATCCAAAAAAAAAAAGAAAAACAAAAAGAAAAAGATAAGAAAACAGAAGAAAACAACTCTCATTTGGCACACACAATACAAACTCTCTCATCAAATACTATCGAAATATTAAGATCATCAGATCATTAATCTCACTATCATCCTCAACGAGTCAATGTGAGCTGGAATCACATCATATCACACAACACCTATTTCAACAGTCTACTGACACCTCTCCTCCACCTATGTACACACAAAATACACACTCCTCTCTATTACATCTCTCAACAAATTCAAAATCGACAAACACGACACACATCCATACAACACATAAACCACATACACTGAACGTCTATATACACACCACAATCGATCGAACACTACACTATCAACTATTACTCAATTCTTCTCCCTAAGTCAACAAGTCAACAGTCAACCTTATCCTTTCAACATTTCCTCTTTACAGTAATAAAAATCTATCTATCAAACAACCAGTCAGTCAATCAAACATAGCACAAACATCATCACAATACCACACACAACTAACCGACCACATAAATCTACTCACCTGTTTTATCACTCGACACTATTAGCATCACAACCAATTGTTACAACACACCATCTTACACCAATTGTCTGAAATATAAACAAAATTAACATTATTAACACACATACATCACAATTCAACACAACATCATGCTACAACATTTCAGTATTCACTAAACTATATCATATCTCGGTCAACAGACCGTCGTGAATATATTCACATCATATCATACAAATCAGTCACATATAACTAACTCATCAACACACATAACCACCATCTTATTCGTCCAACAACATGACACAATACAACACTAGTCACAAGTTATCGAATTAGGCATAAACATAAACTTACCATTACACTCAACATAACATCGTTGTCGTCCGATCAGTCAGTTGTAGTATATACATCATATCAAATATATCTTCATATCTATACATCTCCTTCCTCTTCAAAACATCATCTCATGTTTCACAGATTATAAACTCTCCCACCAATTCATATTCACATGTGTTCGCATCTGCATACTTTCGCTTATCCTCCAATCACAACATCAACAAATTCTCTCATATACAACTCTACACCAACGTTACAAATCTATCATTAGTTGAAGAAGAAAAAACAACAACATATCAATATCTCAATTAACATCACATCCATAATATTAAACATACACTTTTCATTCTTTCTAAATACAATTGTCTACATATGCATATACAGGTGTACACACATACATCTACATATGTATACATTTCTTCAATACTGTCTCAGATAGAGCCCAATCACTGATCATGGAGGGCAAGTTATCATCATCAAATTACGTCTCGCTTCACTAATTAAAAACGTAATCACACAACACCAACCATCACTACAACAACCATCATATACAGTACATAATCACAATAGACCACTACTACTCACCACACCAATCATAACACATCACATCATATCAACAATCGGTAAACAGACACTTACCGTTATTCCCATTTAAAAACCTTGTATATAAATCATCACCACCACCATCACCAACCTCACTCGTCACTCGTCACTCATCACAAATTTATCGCCTCCAATATCACCATCATAGAATTCACAAACAAACTGAAAATCCAAAAAAAAAAGAAAAACAAAAAGAAAAAGATAAGAAAACAGAAGAAAACAACTCTCATTTGGCACACACAATACAAACTCTCTCATCAAATACTATCGAAATATTAAGATCATCAGATCATTAATCTCACTATCATCCTCAGCGAGTCAATGTGAGCTGGAATCACATCATATCACACAACACCTATTTCAACAGTCTACTGACACCTCTCCTCCACCTATGTACACACAAAATACACACTCCTCTCTATTACATCTCTCAACAAATTCAAAATCGACAAACACGACACACATCCATACAACACATAAACCACATACACTGAACGTCTATATACACACCACAATCGATCGAACACTACACTATCAACTATTACTCAATTCTTCTCCCTAAGTCAACAAGTCAACAGTCAACCTTATCCTTTCAACATTTCCTCTTTACAGTAATAAAAATCTATCTATCAAACAACCAGTCAGTCAATCAAACATAGCACAAACATCATCACAATACCACACACAACTAACCGACCACATAAATCTACTCACCTGTTTTATCACTCGACACTATTAGCATCACAACCAATTGTTACAACACACCGTCTTACACCAATTGTCTGAAATATAAACAAAATTAACATTATTAACACACATACATCACAATTCAACACAACATCATGCTACAACATTTCAGTATTCACTAAACTATATCATATCTCGGTCAACAGACCGTCGTGAATATATTCACATCATATCATACAAATCAGTCACATATAACTAACTCATCAACACACATAACCACCATCTTATTCGTCCAACAACATGACACAATACAACACTAATCACAAGTTATCGAATTAGGCATAAACATAAACTTACCATTACACTCAACATAACATCGTTGTCGTCCGATCAGTCAGTTGTAGTATATACATCATATCAAATATATCTTCATATCTATACATCTCCTTCCTCTTCAAAACATCATCTCATGTTTCACAGATTATAAACTCTCCCACCAATTCATATTCACATGTGTTCGCATCTGCATACTTTCGCTTATCCTCCAATCACAACATCAACAAATTCTCTCATATACAACTCTACACCAACGTTACAAATCTATCATTAATTGAAGAAGAAAAAACAACAACATATCAATATCTCAATTAACATCACATCCATAATATTAAACATACACTTTTCATTCTTTCTAAATACAATTGTCTACATATGCATATACAGGTGTACACACATACATCTACATATGTATACATTTCTTCAATACTGTCTCAGATAGAGCCCAATCACTGATCATGGAGGGCAAGTTATCATCATCAAATTACGTCTCGCTTCACTAATTAAAAACGTAATCACACAACACCAACCATCACTACAACCATCATATACAGTACATAATCACAATAGACCACTACTACTCACCACACCAATCATAACACATCACATCATATCAACAATCGGTAAACAAACACTTACCGTTATTCCCATTTAAAAACCTTGTATATAAATCATCACCACCACCATCACCAACCTCACTCGTCACTCGTCACTCATCACAAATTTATCGCCTCCAATATCACCATCATAGAATTCACAAACAAACTGAAAATCCAAAAAAAAAAGAAAAACAAAAAGAAAAAGATAAGAAAACAGAAGAAAACAACTCTCATTTGGCACACACAATACAAACTCTCTCATCAAATACTATCGAAATATTAAGATCATCAGATCATTAATCTCACTATCATCCTCAGCGAGTCAATGTGAGCTGGAATCACATCATATCACACAACACCTATTTCAACAGTCTACTGACACCTCTCCTCCACCTATGTACACACAAAATACACACTCCTCTCTATTACATCTCTCAACAAATTCAAAATCGACAAACACGACACACATCCATACAACACATAAACCACATACACTGAACGTCTATATACACACCACAATCGATCGAACACTACACTATCAACTATTACTCAATTCTTCTCCCTAAGTCAACAAGTCAACAGTCAACCTTATCCTTTCAACATTTCCTCTTTACAGTAATAAAAATCTATCTATCAAACAACCAGTCAGTCAATCAAACATAGCACAAACATCATCACAATACCACACACAACTAACCGACCACATAAATCTACTCACCTGTTTTATCACTCGACACTATTAGCATCACAACCAATTGTTACAACACACCATCTTACACCAACTGTCTGAAATATAAACAAAATTAACATTATTAACACACATACATCACAATTCAACACAACATCATGCTACAACATTTCAGTATTCACTAAACTATATCATATCTCGGTCAACAGACCGTCGTGAATATATTCACATCATATCATACAAATCAGTCACATATAACTAACTCATCAACACACATAACCACCATCTTATTCGTCCCACAACATGACACAATACAACACTAGTCACAAGTTATCGAATTAGGCATAAACATAAACTTACCATTACACTCAACATAACATCGTTGTCGTCCGATCAGTCAGTTGTAGTATATACATCATATCAAATATATCTTCATATTTATACATCTCCTTCCTCTTCAAAACATCATCTCATGTTTCACAGATTATAAACTCTCCCACCAATTCATATTCACATGTGTTCGCATCTGCATACTTTCGCTTATCCTCCAATCACAACATCAACAAATTCTCTCATATACAACTCTACACCAACGTTACAAATCTATCATTAGTTGAAGAAGAAAAAACAACAACATATCAATATCTCAATTAACATCACATCCATAATATTAAACATACACTTTTCATTCTTTCTAAATACAATTGTCTACATATGCATATACAGGTGTACACACATACATCTACATATGTATACATTTCTTCAATACTGTCTCAGATAGAGCCCAATCACTGATCATGGAGGGCAAGTTATCATCATCAAATTATGTCTCGCTTCACTAATTAAAAACGTAATCACACAACACCAACCATCACTACAACCATCATATACAGTACATAATCACAATAGACCACTACTACTCACCACACCAATCATAACACATCACATCATATCAACAATCGGTAAACAGACACTTACCGTTATTCCCATTTAAAAACCTTGTATATAAATCATCACCACCACCATCACCAACCTCACTCGTCACTCGTCACTCATCACAAATTTATCGCCTCCAATATCACCATCATAGAATTCACAAACAAACTGA